CTAGTACTTGTAATAACTGTAAGGACTATATCTATGGTTGAAACAAGGGACAAAGATATAGAATGCCAAGGTGTTTTATCATTAATACGAAAAACGATTATTTATTACAAGAATAAATGGAAAGACCACAGCCACAAGTTGGCTTGTTGGTCACCTACTCTAACAGGGTCGGGTTGATTTTTTGCTCAAACCCGCCCGTATTCACCCCTAGTTGTTGCTTGGTGCTTGTTTCCATTTTGGAGTTGCCACCAAATCTTGGATCTATTGGACTGAACACTGGAAAAGGGAACTAAGCCGTTTTATTAATACATGCAGCTCTTTGCTTGAGCTATTCTATATTCTATCTCTTTCCCCCTTTCTGTTACTATGGATCTATGGCTGAATCTAGAGGAACTTGTACCTAACTGTGGTATTAGAGCATCAGTTGGGCACTTGTTCCTTACAGACTCGTGCTAAGGATATCGTTGCTGTAACTCATTCGCTCTTTTCCTGGGTAAAATCTTGGAAAACCTGTGATTGACATTAGTGGTCTGAAAATACTTCCACTACTTTCTGAAACCTGGGCCAACTCAGGCTACTTGCTACACCAAAATCCCCTTGTCCGGAATTTGTGGGGTGGGGTACTCTGATATAGCCCTGGTTTCAAACCGTCTGTTGCTCTCTGCAACCAAGTGGCTCGTTTGGGCCTACTGTGATCATCTTGTGTGTTTTTTTTACTTTCTGTTGTTATCTGGACATACTCCGAGAAGTGAGGGATCAAACTCCCATTATGTTCCAGACGGACCACCGGCTAGTTAGGAGCAGGCTATGTTAAGTGCGCAAAATGCATACCTGTGAGCATCCATTTAAGCTATCGGATGATCATGAATGTGTCATTGCACTAGATTTCCATCATAATTGTATTTATGAGTTAGAATCATCCATTTATCGTATTTTACGCGTTTTTGTAGTTTTTTAGTGGCAAAATGGCGTTTAAACCCGAGATTTTCATCATAACAAACTTATATTGATGGCCAAGACTATACGCGGAAACCTAATGTTACTACCACCAATCAATCGACGGCTACGTAGAGATTGTTCGGTGAAGATGATGCCTTATATAAAAAGGGTTTTTAGGTCAGAATTTTGGGAGAGAGCGAGAAAAAATTTGGACAAAGAGAATGGTGGCCAAGAACCCTAGTTTAGAGCACATAACTCGTGGAATCTTCCAAGGAGACTAGGAGAGACGAGATGAAGCAAAATACGAATTATTGAAGCGTAGTCGGAGTGACATCGATTCCACGCAGAGATTCTTTATTTTTTAAAGTATTTTTAGTTACGTTGTAAATGGTTTTCAGCAACAATAAACTTCATTTTTTTAGACAACATGAGTAGCTAAACATTTATCTAGGAGTTTACCGAATTCTACTTTGGATGTTTTAAATGGATGCTTACATATGGAGGAGTTCATTTGTGAGTTGGAGCAGGGTTACTCCGAGCAGTAATGTAACATGCCATGACGTGGTTTGAGACTTTCTAAGTTGCCGTCTTGATCATAGTCCTGAGGGCATATTCAGTCATTTGAAGGCCATGCCCTCATGCGATATATTCTCGTTCTTCGCAGTCGAGTAAGTGGATTAGAAAACCTCTTATATGAAGCCGAGGTGGTGGGAGTTATTCTTTCAGATTACCACATTCCATGTTACGTGTTCTTACTAGTCATTCCGATAAACGATGCCAATATGATGATGATAAACTCACTTTGGGGTAGCCCAAGGGTGTAGGATACCCAAGAGATCTTGGGCTAATGGATCGACTCAAGAAGGCTATGGGTCGCTCACACATGCTCGGGACATTTGGAAGCCCGTAGGTCGACCTACAACAAAGATGGAAACACTAGGTAACTGCCAGGGTTTTCATGCCGATTAGTCTCCGACGCTTAAATTAGTAATTGATACTAGAAAAAACTAGTAAATCCCTAGTGTTCTAATTATTAGTTGAGGTTGAATGGAGATTTTTTTTTCTTCTGAAAATACAATATGAGACAGTTTGTAGTTGATTTGAGAATCAACGAGAGTAAATTGTCGCTCAATATCCTTCCACAGACATTGGACCTATTTTAATATTATGGGCGAACCAAGGAGGAGGACTTAAATGTACGTATGTCCAGACCAAAAACAGCTTCGCACATTAACTCTTCCTCCTGTATTTTTCATAAAATACCCCTCATAATATAATATAAATCACTTTCATCTATTAAACTATAACTTTACCAATATTGTACATTGACCTTAGATTTAGCAAATATATCACATTCACCCCATTTTCACAATTTTTTTTTTAAAATAACTTTTTTTCCAGAAATTATGTTTCTAGGATTTATTTTTCCGGCCAAGTCACCGGCATTGACTGCTGGTCTCTAGGTTAGGATTTTACTCTCATTTTTCTCGAATTTTTTTTTCCGACCTTTCTTCGGCGTTGATATTTTTTTTTAGCAACCAATTCAGTAATTTTACTGTCTCAGACAGTAATATTGCACTGAGACAATATTATTACTATCGCAAATAATACAAGTACCGTCTGAGACATTCATATAACACTGAGACAGTACAATTGTTGTATGAGACGATAATATTGCATGTTGAAACAGTAATATTACTGTCTGTGACAATATAATTAATATTATCAAAGTAGTATTACTCAAAGAGTTAAAAACATAAATGTTAACAAAAAAAGTCAACGCCAGAGACTGGCAGATGTCCTGCCGGAAAAAAAAAATCAGAATTTATTTTCAAAAAATAAAAAATAAAAAATAAAAAATAAAAATAAAAATAAAAAAGTTAACGTCGGAGACCAGCGGTTGACCTTCCGAAAAAAAATCATGAAAAAAATCAACGTCGGAGACCGGCGATAAAGGTCAAAATTGGATTATGAGTTAAAATTGGTTAATTGGTGAAATTGGAGCTAAACTATGATTAAAATCACAAAATTGGAGTTGAATTGAGATTTCAAGAAGTTAAGGACCATGCTGGTATATATGAAAGGGTTTTCTTTATTAACAAGTGGTTATTTGAGATAGCCCCCTCACTAGCTTACATAATGTGGGATAAGCCCAAGTCTCTTTATTTTTTTGATCAAACCCCATTAGTTCTAAGTTTCATTTGATATACACCAAAATAATTAGCTTATACCCTTTTTTCCCTTTCAAACTCTAATTAAGGCTTGTTTTATTGTGTTTTATTTTGATTATTATTATTTGTATTTATTTATTTAAAACAAAGTTATTATTGACCTTGATTGTCGGAGGCCCGGTTAGCTGACTCAACATTAGTTAACTTCAATCATTTTTTTTTTTCAATTTCTTTTTAAATTTTTTTCCGGCAGCGGGTCGTCGGAGCTCCGTTTTGTTGACTCAGCATTAGTAACTTCTATTAGTTGACATTCATTTTTTTTTTTCCTTTTATCTTTTTCTTTTTAATTTTAAACCTTTTTTTTTTCGGCGGCGGATCGTCGGAGCTCTGGTTAACTGATTGAACATTAGTTAACTTCATTTAGTTGACATTCTCTTTTTTTTTTCTTCGGTGGGTCGTCGGATCTCTGGTTAGCTGACTGAACATTAGTTAATTTCAACATTAGTTGACATTCCATTTTTTTTTTGTTTTTTTCTTTTCTTTTTTAAATTATGTTTTTCTGACAACAGGTCGTCGGAGCTCTGGTTAGCTGACTCAACATTAGTTAACTTGTTAACTTCAACACTAGTTGACATTTGACATTCCATTTTTTTTCCTTTATCTTTTTCCCCTTTTAATTTGTTTTCGGTGGTGGGTCGTCGGAGCTCCGGTTAGCTGACTCAATATTAGTTAACTTCAACCTTAGTTAACTTTAACATTAGTTGATATTTTTTTTTCCAACAGTTGTTCGTCGGAACTCCGGTTAACAGACTCAACATTATTTAACTTCAATATTAGTTGACATTTTTTCTTTTCTTTTAACTCTTTTTTTCAGCGGTGGGAATTTATGCTCTGATTAGCTGACTAAGCATTAGTTGGCACTTGACAGTTTTAATGTTAATGTTTAAGTTAACTAATCTTAGTGAGCTAATTAACCAACCCCCCACCGAGTAAAAGAAAAAGATGTCTACCAATGTTAAAGTTAACTAATATTGATGTTAACTAATATTGAAGTTAAATGTTAAGTCAGCTAATCAAAGCTACGACAACCCACCTCCGGGAAAAAATTAAAAGAAAAAAATGGGATTGTTTAAAGTTAATTAATGTTGAAGTTAACTAATGCGTCAGCTAACTGAAACTCCGATGACCCGCCGTGGAAAAGAGAAAAAAAAAATCTGACCGGGTCAGACCGGACCAGACCAGGTCGGACCGGACCTAGTGAGCGGGTTGGATGGGATGGGGTGGGTTGGACTTATCTCAAATAGAAATATGCGGGGTCATTTTGGGAATTAATGTTTTTATGAGTTTATTTGAAATGAAAGTTAAATGGTGAGTCTATTTGTAGTGAAATTTGGATTTTTGGGTCTATATCAAGTTCGTCATATTAACAAATAAGTTAGAATAAGATGGATATAAAATCCACTCCATTAATTAAGTATCCTTGTTACAGGGATCTTTGGAGTTCATCCTAATATTAAATTCACGTCAAAAATATTTTTGGAACAATCGAAACCCAACATTTTTCGGGATTTTGGATTTTTATTTTTTTTTACTACAAAATGAAAAAAAATATGGATTTAAGTGGAATTGGGAAATGTGATTCCAATTTCACGTAAATGTAGAGGCATATATTGATTTTGGCATAAGTGTATCATGCTCAAACATCTTCCCTTTGTCTTGTTGTCCACCGCACCACATTACACCCAAGTTCCAGAATTCTGAGTGAGCCTTATCATGTTTCGAAATACCATTAATTTCACACTTGGCCAATTTTCCTTCACCGAAAAGCAACAGGCACACAATATATATATATATATATATATAAATCAGTATTCATGTTATAATAGTTGGAAAAGAAGGAAAAAAATTAAAAATGGAAGTTGTGTACAAAATATTTGCTGCTTCATTTGGATTTGTAGTGTTGTTTTACACATGGAGAATACTGAACTGGGCATATATTCAGCCCAAGAGGCTGGAAAAATCATTGGGGAATCAAGGTCTCACCGGAAATACGTACAAATTTCTGTATGGAGATTTGAAAGAGATGTCGAAAATGTTTAACCATGCCAAGTCTACCCCCATCAATCTCCACGATGATATCAAGCCGAGGGTTCTCGCTTTTCTTCACAAAACCTTCGAAAAATATGGTAATTATGCTAATTTCTTTTGTGTGGGGTCTTATCTTTTGAGAATATGGAAAATAACTTATTGGCCAATTCATTCAACTCTTTAGTATATTCAAGGACAGAAAAACGCACTTCACTCCTTATAAATTTCTCACTTTTGCACTCTCCCCCTTGAAAATTAAAAAAGCGACAACACTTTTTGAATACTGTTTTGGTTGCGCTTTGCCCTGAAAGCCAATTTTCGGTGGGCACGCACCAAATGTAATATTTTAAAGGTGATAATGTGCCAAAAAAACCAATATTTTTATCGGGCAATGTGCAAGAAGAATAATATTTTGAAGGGGGTATTCACTTTTTTAAATTTTGAGGAGGTAGATGTTGAATAACCATCTCTCAACATTTTCATTTGGCTTGACTCTGATACCGTGTTGAAGGACCATAAAGCTTAAGCTGTTAGTGAAATGTATTATTTAATATTAATATCTCCAATAGTAAAGTGCAAAAATTAGAAATGTATAAAGGGTGCGGTGCAATTTTCCCTAAATTTAAATTTAAACGCTTTTGTAATTTCGAACTGATTACAGGACAAGAATCGTTTATTTGGCTTGGTCCACGACCTACAGTTATGATCACAGAGCCTGAACTTGTTAAGGAAGTGATGACAAAGTTTAATCTATACCAAAAGCCGAAGAACTCGAATCCACTGACGAAGCTGCTAGCACAAGGACTTTTCTCATATGAGGGAGATAAATGGTCCAAACACAGAAAAATAATCAACCCTGCTTTCCATTTTGAAAAATTGAAGGTTTTATTTTTAATTCTTGTATTTCATGTCAACTACATTAATGAACTAAGACGAGGTTTTTTTTTTTGTTGGTTTGTTTAATTCGTCGGAATAGCTAATGATTCCGGCCTTCTATTTGAGTTGCGAAGAAGTTTTGAACAAATGGGAAACGAGTATCTCACAACAAGGATCGTGTGAGATGGACGTGTGGCCTTATCTGCAAAATTTATCGAGCGACGCTATATCAAGAACTGCATTCGGTAGCAGCTACAAAGAAGGAAGAAAAGTTTTCGAACTTCAGAAAGAACAGGCCGAGTACATCATCAAGGCTTTACAAACGATCTACATTCCCGGATGGAGGTATTTATAAAATATATATCCATCTTATCATACAATTATTTAATTTTTTTTAATTTTTATATTCATGCGTGAAATTTGTTAATGCGTAGATTTGTGCCGACGAAAAGGAACAATAGAATGAAAGAGATCGAAAAGGAAATCCAATCCTCGATTCGCGGTATGATTGACAAAAGGGTTAAGGTGATGAAAGCAGGGGAAGCTGGCAACAACGAAGACTTGTTGGGCATATTGTTGGAGTCCAATTTCAATGAAATCGAGCAATACGGGAACAAGAGTTTCGGAATGACGACCGATGAAGTGGTGGAAGAGTGCAAGCTGTTTTATTTGGCCGGTCAAGAGACCACTTCGGCGTTGATCGTGTGGACATTGGTTTTACTTAGCCAATACCCAGAGTGGCAGATGAAAGCTAGAGAAGAGGCTCTCCAAAACTTTGGTAATCAAACTCCAGAAT